GGGTACCATTCTGGCATTGTTTCAGCCAGCAACACAGACAATACAATACAGGTATAAACACAGGTGACTATAATCCTGTCTCCTTGTGCGTTTTGGATAGCAGGTTCCATCACTGGTGCTGAGCTGGGACAAGGTCCTAGACCCCAGTGACCCTTGTGTCTGCTCCATTACTCATAGGGCCAGCAATCCAAGAAGGCCAGACTCACCAACATAGAACATGTATGTCTCTTTCACAAAGGCCAAGAGGAGGGCTCCTGACCCGAAGGAGACCATCCCAATCATGATCATGGTGGTGTCCTGGAAGCAGCGGGAGAAGACCAGGACGCCCAGAAAGCTGGTGATGAAGATGATGTACCCGGAAGCCATACCATAGCCCACCTGCACTTGGTTCCAACTGAGAGGCTCCCTCAGCACAAAAAGAGGCATCATGTCCACCGTGCCTACTACAGCCAAGTCATAGATGATGGCACCCACAAAGAGCAGGACAATGATGGTTCTTTTGGGTCTGCCTTTTTCAGGAGGTGGAGTGTGCACCACTACATTTTGCTTTTCTGGCCGATCAGGATCCAGGGTGCGGTAGGTGCCCACTATACCAGACTCCGTATCCACTGCAGGGAGCTTCTTGTTGGCCTTGGCTATGGGTTCAGGGACCTTGAGCACCAAGAGGCTATAGAAAAGAGCAAAAGTGGCACAGCCTACGCTGCAGGCTGTCAGCACCAGGCCCTGCCTAGAGTGCCCGATTATCTGCTTGAAGAGATGACCCGAGGCCATGCTCCCGCAGAACCCCGCCAAGCCCAAGACCAAGTCGATAACAATGAGGCGCAGGGAGCGGCGGCCTTCAGAGGAGCCCAGAGATCCCAGCGCCATGACCCCGGACCAGAAAGCGGAGAAGCCGCCGCCCAGCCCGTTGAGCGCTGCACCCGCGTACAACACTGCCACCGGCCAGTCCAGCAGCACCTTGAGCAGCAGTGTGAGGCGGGAGAGCAGGAAGCCCAGCAGCGACACGCAGATGGAGATCTTGCGGTGGTAGCGGTCGCTGAGCCAGCCCAGCCCATAGGCGGACAGCAGGGGCGTCAGGCCCACGACGAGGTTGTAGATGATGTAGAAATTGGAGATGGCCTTCTGCTGTTGTTCCTCTGGATCCCCCTGGGGCGACGGGCTGGTGCTGTAGTTGGAGGAGCCCCCGGCTGCGAAGGACGCTTTCACCACCAGGAGTAATCCCGCGTCGTAGAAGGAGCTGGCCACCTGGGACGAGGCTACCACGGGCTCGATCCAGGTCCTCACCTGGAAGTGAGGGGGGTGGCCCCCCCACCGGCAGGCGACCTCGGGACCCATGGGACCTCTTCTGATGGAGAACAC